TTAAAATACGAGAATTTAAACTGCTGTATTGAATAAACGTCGTATACAAAACTGTTGTGAGACCTACAGCATTTTCACAAAACGATTTCAATCAATAATTTTTTATTCAATGATAAAAAAGGATCTAAATTGTATTTAAACGTCACTTATTACCGGTAAAAAACAATATTACTTAAACCCATTAAAAGTGAATCGATGCAACAAGAATGGTCAAATCAAACTTGACCATTTCCTATTGTGGAATTTCCGCTTTACGTGTTCATTTCACAACAAGTTATTCAATATCAAATATCGTCACGCTTTCTGTGCTTCACTCATTCGTCTTGGCTATTGCAATTCAGTGGAAACACCGGATGTATATTTGTATGGACTCGAACCAATGGTTAATTTACCACTGAGCCTCAATTTCATACCCAAACCTCTCTGGATATCAATAAATACATGCTCGAATACCTCTCGGACTTAAAAATGTTAGACCTCACCAAATCAATATATTTTCCTCATTTGAATATCAACCTTCTCAAAGTGAACACCAATTGCTAACCAAACGTGGAACAAGCAATGTAGCCAAACGAATGTGGAGCAGATATTATTGTGATCACAAGATAAAATGAAAGTGGTATTCGCAACCGTCTTTCTCCGGTGAGTTGCGCAATCGCACATGTTGTAACAAGCAGGTCTGGTCAGCGGGAGACTACTACTCCTACACATGGCGGAATATGATGAAGTTGAGGAAGATATGACGTGAAGCTAATGGGAATTGGCAATTGGTGTGATGTTGAAAGGTAGAAAGTAACCGAATACCTTGTCTTTATCAAAAACCGTTTCTTCGCTTTTGTAAGTAGACGGCAATAGATGTGTTAAAATATCGTTTTCCCTTGGGAATTTGTGTTAATCACTTGAAAAAATTGGAAACCAAATTATTATTTTAGAAAACGTTGCCTATTGAATTCAACAGACCAAATTAACAATGGGTGTCTGAAACGTAATTTCTTTCAGTTCGGAAGTATGTTATATCTCGTGAAAAATTCATAGTACAGTACATACATGCAATCAATCATAATTATAACGTTAAAAAACTGCAATTATCTTTAGTCTCTTTGCTAAACTTAAGATTAATGGTTTTTAATGGATAGATATATCTGGGTAGCGAATTGGCTATAGTGCTCGCCTTCAAATATGAAGGTCACCGGTTCGATTCCCAAGTGAGACCGGTTCTGGATAAGGTTTGGACCAGTAAAAAATTATAATTGTGTTCAAAGGGATATAAAAAAATGTGTATTGAAATTAAGGAACATTCAGGGCAGCTGAGGACTATTTCTGCAATGACGGGGACCGAAATCCACACCATAAACATTCCGAAGGCCAAGAGGTTTCTGTTGACTACTCTGAATAGTTCAGATACAATATGACGGGGAATTAAATTTTGAAGGGGATTCCTCAGACCAGTAGCCAACACAAATCTCATTACACAAACAGTTAATGTATTCTAGTGGCGACTCGGACCGAGTGTTTACTAATGTGAGTGGTTCAACAAAGAGATTACCTTGCAGAAACGACAGGCTGTCAAACGGTACATTGTACAGTAATGTCAAGCCACTTCGGAAGCCGGTTTTTGGAGGACAAGTTAATATATACATATAGGTGGGAGTAATAGCTCAGTGATGTGAAGCGTGGGTATATGGTGTTTGCCTTTAGACGGAGACGATTTTTCAATAGAAAATATTATCATTGCATGCGTGACTTATAACTTTTATTCTGGGGCTTAAGAAGGCCTACGAGCCAATGGGATGGACTTATCACCGGTACTGGTGATTGGCTGGTTTTGAACCCAGACCTCTAGACCTGAGGTTTTGATCTCAAACCACCAAACCATCCGTATTACGCCTTTCTGGTATATTTCGAAGAGATGTAATAGTTAAGTCACGATAAGACTCCTCGACTAAATGACAAAATATTTTTTACGCATTATCTGCAGAAGTCCATACACATATTTTATGTCCCCCGCCACAATTTGCGTTTTTTCGTTGATTTGAAAGGAAATTGGTTAAACCGTATACTGATCTTATCTGACGTCGACATCTGTGACTAGAATCGACATATTTTGTAATATAACTACTCGGACCCTCAGATTTGCTGCTTCCAGCATACTTTCAATAATAAGATATATGTTGAGTGCTAAAAAAATAGGTAGTTAAACAAGGATGGTCTACACAAAATTTGTATTAAGGTTCGTACCGTGCATGAAATAATGGCTAGAAGTTGCCGTAGTGTTTTTGCCGTGTTATTTTTACTGAGATATTATGAAAATTGACCCTTCTCTTAGGCTAATGAGCAATAAATAGTTTGTATTATATAACACACCATCTTTATAAGTCATGAATTGCTAAGCTGCATCAGCTCGAATCATCATCGGGAATGTTGGCACTTTTAAAATAATTATAAAACATACTAATTCTTAGACGTTAAAATATACCCATTATAAAATATGTGTTAGGTTGTCAAACCTTTCACAACAAATGTTTAATACTTTTGTTAAATTCATGAGAAATGACAAAATAAACAAAAGCGGTCCCAACACTGATCCTTGGAGGACACCCACGTTATCAAGTTACTCAACCTAAGTGACTTATGATGGCCAGATATGGCCGTCCCACCACTGCCCCCCCCCCCGCAACACCCTCATGGGGTCACCAAAGGTGAGTGGTCGCCCTTGGACCAAGAGTCCTGGATAGCTGCCCAACGTGGACCTTGGACTCCCGTTCCCTGTCTATCATGTTCCGCAACCATCGTTCCCGTTATTTGATTTTTTTCTGTCTGGCAAATTTGCATTTAATGTAGATGGATTCGAACGAAGCTTTCACTACTTTTAAATTAATGTTTTAAAAGGTACTAATTTCTGTTTGGTACAGATTTATTTGGGTTTGGACGTTTAAATTTGGGTTTGGTAATGGTCGGTTTGAGGTTAGATGACGTTTATACTTTGTAAAGCATAAGGCCAAGGCCAAATATTATTTTATCTAATAGTTTTTGCAAGGACATATCTGATGCAATTGCTTGATGTTGTATATTCTGTTGGTTTATTCACTATTAACTACAAGAAGTTCCCCAACAAAGTTAGATTAACATTCGCAAATTCAATTAATTTATTAAAATAACTTATCTAGGAAGATAGGGCAAGACCTTATAAAGCCAAAGTCTCACATTCTGCATCAGACTTAAAACGAAAGTATGTTTGGTTTCCCTCCTTTATTACATTATGAGTAAGACGGACAATCCTCATATCTTTACAAACATAATGTTTACTATCATCCATTCGTAACTGTCAAATAGTTTGCACCTCTTCTCAATTTTCTAAGTGGATTGTACAATTCGTAAAATTCTCTCGTACTTTTTGTCAGTGAATTTAACGCAACGTCTAACATGTGAATGTTCGAGACTAAACGTGTTATTGGAATCAACATCATATTATCATTATTGTCATCAAGGATTTCACCCACCCCAGGCGACCTTGCCAATCTGAAGATAAACAACTTGTTTTTGTGTTTCGCCGAGTCGGGATTTCAGATTTACGAAAATAACTTTAATTATGTTTGTGATGAAAAAATCCCTGAGATTCTGAGACATCATAACAAATTTAGTGAATTTTCAATCGGCATCGCGATTTTTACAATGTTATTACTCAAAGGCAAACGCGCCTTGCGTACAAACGCAACTTGCAATACACAGGAGTGTCTGAATCACGTTTCGCGCCGGGTCATCTGGTTTGCAGTTCAAGGCTAAAACCATTGACTATATATACCTATATATAGTCAATGCTAAAACGTATAATTGAAATAAATCAACTAACCTTCAATATATAATATTGTATATAGTTTTTTTTTTAACATTTGGAAAGCAGTATGAGATTTAGCATATGAAGGAGTAGGCAATATTTGGGCGGAGATAATTCGGCATCGTCGGCAAAATAAGATCCGATTACCTTTTCTTGTGCTATATTTTTATTTTATAAACTATAAGGAAAATTTACAACTGATAATTACAAGTTTGGCTGCAAAATAATCATCCATTTTGTCTTAATGAATTACGGAGCAAAACATAAATTTGCAATTTAAAACGATCCATCTAGATAAAAAATGTTTGCTATGTTTTAGTTTCCGCCAGATAATTTACAAAAATAGCTAACTTACGGGAGGTATATGTATCAAAATGCCACTACGTGAGACTTATGTGGTGGCATTTTAATACAAATGCCTAACAAAGCCTGCTGAAATAACAAACTAACATGAACAGGGTAATTTAAAATTAGTAATTGATCTCATTAGTTTGAAATAATTTGTCAATATTTTACCTAAACTAAACGTGGCACACATTATTATGACGGTGAATACTCAGCACACACTTTGTATTGCAAATACATAAACACTGTGGGTAAAGCAATGCCTACTTAAGTACCTACTTTAAGTAAGTTGTTGATATGTCAAGAATTTGTTTATCTATAATACATGACAGCAAAAGAGTAGAATAATATCTTTGTTGGGTTACTGTTATCTTGTATAAATTATTTGACATCGACCATCATACCCATTAATATAAGCCCTATAATATAGTTATAACCAAGTTTAACAAACAAAACGCACGGTTATTTAACTAGTAAACTAGTTTTCATTTTCTGATTACTGTAGATTCTGAATTGTTTAACCAACTCCCATTTCCACGTCAACACACGTTGACAGACGCAGCTCAAACGACTAATATTAAAGTTCTATTTAGCCATGATCTTATGAAGAAGCAGCATTTTTTATAAAGCCTCCCTTAAAAAATATATGAGTCCCCGAAAGAAAGTCATCCCTTTCTAGATATGTTTTATTTAATTTAAAATCTTTTTAGACGAAGGGGCCTAATTCTTTTGTAAATAACATCTTTGAAAATTCAAAGATTAATGTTTACATTCAATACGTCATAATCACTAACACAGTACAGCAGTTGACAGCACCTACCTGAAGATGGAGACAGGTGGTTCCCGCTCGAATGTCCGGCGCTGAATGCAACTCAGCCCCAGTTGACAAGAACAGCTGTTTTCTCCCTCCACTCGCTCAGCTGTGCTGCAATCAGCTGATCCGTTACTTTTACTTTCCAATTTATGAGCCAATGGCCGACCATGTGTAGCCGTGCCACCTCAATTGCTATGGTTTTTCGTTTTGGTCCGTTGCCAAATGTAACAATTGTTGACTCTTGTGGTTGACAGATTTTCCAATTTAACCATTTGGACAGTTTAGAGTAATTTTATATTTCCGTAAATGGATATGACAGGTGATGTTGGGGGTCTTTGATGTAGATATGGATAAATTGTGTGTTTAGCTCGTAATATGTTTTGGTTCTTGTATATGAAATGATTACATATTACTGAGCTATTGAACTAGAAAACAAAGTATTTCTCTGTCTGTATTTTAACTAAAACATATCAGGAAATTCATTGACAATGATTAACAAAATAAATAAAAGAAATGAAAAAAGTTCTTGTATTACTAAACTGAACACATAACTGGTGCACTGCTCTGAAGGTAAGCTATAGAAAGCCTTACAACGAACTTTGATAAATTTCCAATAATTTAGTTACAATAATTATGCATGTTTCAACACCGATAAACAGAATGAATCACATATACTCATGGATTGGGGTAATTGAAAGTTTGAAACCACAGGTTAAGTGTAAGAGAGGGCCATGTGGCCTTTGCCTGTATAAATAAACAATTGTCTACTCCGTTCTTATGGCCATGCCGACAGTGTGTGCATGAGGGTTGGTTCCGGCATCTTTCTGTTAAAACAACTGATCATTTTTTCGATCATAATATCGTTATGACAGCCTATTATGGGGTCATCTTCCCTTATCTGGCATACGTGGTGAAAATAAAAATAATAATGAGAATAAAAAGAACCCGATTTCTATTGCGACTTCAAAAGAGATGCAGCAATCATTGAAGTTGCAATTAATCCATTGTGTACCCAAGGAAATGTAGACTAATAATCTTGCCTACTCTAATACAAGGCCACAGCGAGACACTTGGCAACATCGCTGCCCCGTCCTACTGAAACAGCTGTTGCACTAATTCATAATGGAGCGTACGAGCAATGTTTATGTTTACAAATTTGTTATTACAGTTGTTACCATGGCAATGGGCCGGCCGGTGCGACGTTATCACAACCAATGCCGTGGCCATGTATTCGAGAAGGCTATATGGTAATATACTTATTATTGGAAATCTGAGTTCCAGTGATTGCTTAATAATCCCAAAAGATCACAAGACTAATGCTTAGAAAGGTCTGGTGCAACTCAACGATATAGGTACAACTGAATTGTATAAATCAGTAGGCGTACTTTTTGGCGGTTCTAATCTGGACCTAACTGTTCATTGTAGTTGGACGTTTAATGATTGGTCCTGACTGCAGTATCGCCTGGTCGTAGTCAGGAACAGTACTTTCACGTAATTAGACATTAGACTCTCATAGCTATTCCTTTTTGCCCTAATCTACGTTCCATGGTGTGCCAGTGTCGTGTTAAACTCAGTAAATTCAATTCATTATAGAATTGAATATATACAGTAATTGACCAAACTATTCCATAAAAGGTTTTAGACTTAAATAATAGTAATTCACCCTATACTAATTACAACGTTGAGAAATTAGCTCAATTATTGTTCTTGAAAACTAAATAAACTTTGTCTCAGTGAGTAACCTTTTATAGTATTACGTAATCCTAAAAACACATGCAGCTATTCTACAAGCGAAATACAAGTATTGTCTGCTTAATAGACCAGAAACACATAGAATACGCCCACGTGAATACAACTCGCCTACATAGAGTAAGGTCATGGTCCGACCACGCCTCTACGATCAAGGCTGCACTGGAACACGGGTGCCAACTTGGCAAGGTATAATATCACGTCAAACAGCTGTTGGTAACAATGATTTGTTGCATAGTTATTTGACAGTGTTATGTTCACAATGGACGTCGAAGTGCTATATTATAGGGATGAAATATTTAGAAATTGGAAAATGATTCGAGCTTTTAATTTCATTCAGTTAGATGCAAGTATTCGTTTAGGTAACATTAAAATGTGCTGTTAAATTGGTAATGAAGGTACATTATGTTAATGTTACTAAAACGATGGCCATTTAAATAACCCTGTGAGGCTGCCGTTAAGTGTATGGGTGTTTTTATTTCTTGCAACACTTTTGAAACTGTTGTAGATTTTTTAGGGACAGTCCTAACCCTGGTACTTTTACTATTTAAATTTCTTTGTCAGAAAGTTTTGTGGCTAAGATTCGTAAAGTATTGTTTTTTGGTCCAGAACGAATCATTCTGATTAAACTGACGGTTTACTGATTGAAAGTTCTACGAGGATAAGGTGAAATATTCAAATGGTGCTAACATGTAAACCAAAATAGGAATGAGTTTGCAAACCAATCAGATAAATATAAAACACTTTATCGCTCGAAAAAATCGTCGTCACTAAAATTAGCCTTAAAATACAAATGGTACAATGTGTCCGTATCGCGCTTTCACTTTGTGCAAACCGCTTACCAAGTATATAAAGTGCTAGCTCAAAAGCTCAGTACTTTTTCCCTTATAGAAATTTGTAGCGTGATTTTTGTAATTCATCTGGAAGTTACATTGATCCGACGCGTTATCCTCCCAAGCAAATTTAGGGGTGCTCCACGTGTTACGGTATCACACATTATCCTACAGGCACGTGGACGGAATTGTATTTTACTAACAAAGACCTTGAATTTGATGTGCATATCAACCTATGATTCTATTAAAGATTTTCTTCCGACTTCTTGTGGGCCATCCCCTGAAGTGGTAGTGGCTCATTGAAGTTAGTTGTAGTAAAATAGCGTTTTATGCCCAGTAACAGTGTAACAACTTGTATAGCTCACTCTGTAACGGTAAAAAAATAATAAGCCGTCCCGGGACTTTTCACCATCCCTGTAGTAAAAATGTTAACTATGATGCTTCATAGGTATAATGTAATATGTTTGTGTACACCAACACAGTCGTATTAGACACAATTATTGAATCACTTACTAAACAGCCGCTTGTTTGCATTAGCAAAATAATCTAAAACAAGTTGGAAGTCGTTTTGGGGAGTTATCTCTTTCCATGGCAAGTATTTTCTTTTTTAACCTAGTTGCTTAATGGTGTAATATGACGAAAGGTTAAAAATATAGTTCATCACACAGGCAAAAAGTGTACTTTCAACCCTCGCACATAACTTAAACTTGGGCTTGGGTTGATAAGAGTCACTTTACACCCTAGTGATTGCATATACTATTTTATTGTACACAGCACAAGTTCAACCTACAAGTTTACTTTTTTCAGTCATGTCCTTGAGCGTAGCTAGGTCACTTTGGTGGTAATCAATTAAATCGTTTAATGTCAAAGTAAATCTGTCACTTCCTGTAACTAAAGCAGCGGTTGACACGCCCAGTCTGAAGGTCTAGGCTACATAAACTTGTAGACATTATAGTGTACATAACCGTGTATAGTATATCCTTCTCTCTCCTGTCAATAGGCAATCAGCTGTTAGTACTGTAACTCAATCTGGGTAAATATTTACACTGAGCTAATCCTAAAAAAAATTATCCTAAAAAGGCTTGTAATTGTAAATGTTTATCAGTGAAATTACAGTAATTTATCAGGCTTGAACCATCTCATTGACCTCCTTGACTAGAATATTCTTATAAAAGTAGTATTATAAGAAATAATGAGAAAAGTCTGTTGAATAAAATAACTATGAATTTTCTATGGTGACATCGATTCATTTCGTGCATTCTACCGCTGACTGTGAGGATACTGAAATAGGACATCTATTTGGACAGGTTGGTGCAGTTTCGTTTATTATTATTTCTTCTATTATTATTTATAATAGAGTGTAGTTGAATAATCCATCCGTAGTGTGCACTATTGTCAAAATTATATTTTTCCGTGTACTAGTTTTGATTACTATGGTGGTTGATTTGACTTAAATGTTAGGTGTGGTCATGTCGGTGTGGTAAAAAAGTTGCCAAATTCTATTTAAAAGAGCAAAATTGAGATCAGTGAACTCTATTGGTGGATCAATATAATTAAGTTAATTTATATTCAAATCCGTCTTCTTCTCGTGGCGTTTCAGTCCAGAGAGCTGAACCGTACTGGACTAAATCTGTTATGTCCTCTCCAGCCAGAAAACCGTCTTAAGCTATAGTTTTAACGTAACTATGCTATATCTACTTTCATTAATAGTCAAAGAGTCTACTCTAGCAGCATAGATGGATGAGAAAAACTAACACTTCTATAACGAAGCTTGGTCCATTAGAATGTTTGGAGCGTTAATACTTCTCAAACATTCTAATGGTTCCACTGATGACCACAGCTCGAGGAAGTTTGCTAAGACTTCGCCTCTTCCAATTAATTTGCTCGCTTTCTCCACTCGACTCAACCGCCCTTCAATGTATGTTACGTAAAACGTTCAAACCCGCAGACGATCTCACATTTCCTGCTCTATTTGGGCTTGTGATAGTTAAAAACTTATGAAAGTCTAGTGTTAAAAAAAATAGTGTTCAAATTCTCATCGCCAGGATGTAAAAATGTAATGTGTTAAAATATCTTTAAAAATGTGGAAGGTGCGTCTATTAAATGTGATATTACATTACAGTAACTATAAAACCCATATCTATGAATAACAACACTTACAACAACTTTTACAAGGTTAATTCCGACTCATAATTCTCACAAATTATGCAATCCCAAATCTCAATATATGACATTAAAATGCATTTACATGGCCTTCAGCTAAACTGAAAATACAGTCATCGAGGTTTGAAGCATTTATTTAAAAAAGTGAACATAAATGATAGGGGACATCAATTAATTTGTTACTTCCTTAAAGCTGTTTCTCGTATTGTAACATGATAAAAAATATCGTAACCTGTTTAATATGTTTTCTTTGTTTTCTAATTTTGTAAAATTGTTTATATTGCTCTCCCTTGCGTATTTTACATCTTCCCCTGGCAAAATGCATTCAAGTCAGCCGATTTCTACTGCAATCTGTTTTTATCATTCACAAAAGTCGCCTTACAATAAAAATTG